AATCGCTGACGTCACAATGCCCATCATTGGCACGGACCAACTTAATCATCATGATTTGCTTGTAGACGTCCGCGATAAACGACTAATTGACAACACTACTAGTTTGTCTATCAAAGGCATAACTTACGTAGGCCCCAGTTTGTCAATCGCTAACATGAAAGCAATCCTCGATCCAACTTTTCAACCGATTGTTGACAAATATCCGGAACTCACTTTCCCATCTAACGATCTCCCGTGTATAACCAGCAATGTTATGCACCACATCATAACCTCAGGACAGCCCGTGACATCTAAAGCACGACGACTGGCCCCTGACAAACTGAGAATTGCTAGAAACGAATTCGATCATACGCTTACCCTTGGCATCATTCGGCCATCGAATAGTCCATGGGCATCCCCGTTGCATATGGTACCGAAAAAGGACAGTAACGATTGGTGACCCACCGGTGATTACCGGCGAGTGAACGCCGAAACAACCCCCGATTGCTACCCTTTGCCTCACATACACGACTTGACGGCAACGTTATCTGGAGCATCTATATTCTCCAAAATCGATTTGGTTAAAGCGTATAACCAAATCCCGATGGCAACGGAAGATATTCCGAAAGTGGTTATCATCACACCTTTCGGACTTTTCGAATTAGTACGTATGCCATTTGGCCTCCGGAATGCGGCCCAAACATTCCAACGCTTCATCGATGAAGTATTTCGCGGTCTCGACTTTGTATACGCATACTTAGACGACTGCCTCATTGCCAGTCCAGATAAGGAAACTCATCTTAGACACATGGACTTGGCATCCGAAAGGTTACGCCAACATGGTGTTATCATCAATATCCAAAAGTGTCAAATAGGTGTTGACTCACTCGATTTTCTCGGTCACACTATTGACTGCCAGGGCATTCGCCCACAGGCTACTAAAGTCGAAGCGATACTGAACTTTCCGGAGCCAAAGACAGTGAAAAGTCTTCACACTTTTAACGGCTTGGTAAGTTATTACCGACGGTTTATTCCTAACTGTGCTTCTCTGATTCAGCCATTAACAGACCTCCTTCGAGGGAATAACAAGTCTATCGAACTCGACGCGTCTTTTCGACATGCTTTTGCTCAGGTAAAAAAGCTATTGCGGATGCCACACTTCTCATGTATCAGGATCCAACGGCACCGTTAAGTATCTCGGTTGATGCATCAGACACTGCAATCGGCGCAGTTCTGCAACAACTAGTTAACAACGAGTGGCAACCACTCGCCTTTTTCTCGAGGCGCCTTCAATTAGCTGAAACGAAGTACAGCACATTCGGAAGAGAACTTCTAGCTATGTACTGTGCTATACGCCATTTTCGACATTCAGTTGAGGGTCGTGAATTCATCATTTTCACTGACCACAAACCTCTGACGTACTCTCTGAACTCAACTTCAGATAAGTATTCACCCAGGTAATCACGACAACTGGATTACTTTTCACAGTTTACATCGGATATTCGCCATGTATCCGGAGTGAACAATACTGTGGCAGATGCCTTGTCACGTATTTGTTCCTTCACCCAAATCGACGGCATAGACCTTGTAAAACTGGCTCGTCTTCAAAAAGAAGATACCGAGCTTCAGCGTGAGTTATCGAAAACAACTCTACAATTAGCCGAGAAACCCTTAGGTATAGGAAAAGATACTATTCTCTGCGACATTTCCACTAGTACTCCTCGCCCTATCGTGCCTAAAAGTTATCGCCGTAACGTCTTCAATACGTTGCATGGCTTATCCCACCCAGGTATTCGAACTACCGTCAAGCTCGTAACTAGTCGGTTTTGTTGGCCTGGTATTAACAAGGAAGTAAGGGAATGGGCACAGACGTGCTTAGCTTGCCAAAAGTGCAAGGTAATAAGACACACCAAAAGCCCCCTTGGCACCTTTCTTATCCCCGATGCCCGTTTCGAACACGTCCATATAGATTTAGTTGGCCCCCTTCCAGAATCTCATGGATATACCTATATGTTAACCTGCATCGATCGCTTCACACGATGGCCTGAAGCAGTACCCCTCAAGGATATATCTGCTGAAACCGTCGCACGCGTCTTTGTAGAAAGATGGATCGCAAACTTTGGATGCCCATCTTCCATAACAACTGATCGTGGGCGGCAATTCGAAAGCGGTTTATTCTTCGCTTTGACTAAAATCCTTGGTTGCATGCGTTTTCGAACAACGGCCTACCATCCTCAAGCTAATGGTATGGTAGAACGTCTACACAGACAGTTGAAAGCTGGTTTATCAGCTGCAAATAACACCCATTGGACTGAATCCCTTCCGTTAGTTCTCCTAGGGATACGAAACGCCTTAAAAACCGATGCTGGTTGTACTACCGCTGAGCTAGTATATGGCACGACACTACGACTGCCAGGTGAGTTTGTTTCTCCCTCGAGCTTCCCACCAGCGGTAGATCACTCCTCATACGTCAGTAGGCTTACAAACGCAATGCGTTCAGTTAAACCTGCTCCCCTCCGACCACAGTCCATTGATGTCTTCGTTCACCCCTGTTTAAAAACTTCTTCACACGTATTTGTTCGTCGCGACTCTGTGCGTCGCCCTCTAGAACCCCCGTATGACGGACCATATAAAGTAATTAAACGTACGGATAAATTCTTCGTCTTAGACAAGAAAGGCCGCGAAGACACCGTCAGTATCGACCGTCTGAAACCGGCTTACTTGGAAGGTAATCCTATTAGCCTAGAGCTGAACGTACCCGATAATCCACAAGTAATTGAATCTCCTTTAGTCTTCGAAGAACTCCCTAGCACGGCGAAAGCCACCGAACCTTCGGTCGAACACTCTAAGAAAACGCGTTCTGGACGTCACGTAAGATTCCCAGAATACCTCCACACCTATTTCACATAACTGAGTGGTGCGTTTCACCCAACTCATTCGTTTGTGGTATTAGTCAGTATTTCTCCTCAGACATCAATTTTTTATGTAGCATCACTAAACACAAGTAAAAGAGTTTTTTCCTATAACCGTACATTATACATGCACTTAGAAAAAAATTAAATTAGATGTATATTTTTTTCGATGTTTTGAACTTTACATTATTTTACTGTATCGTAGATGCACGTCATTTTTTGTAAAAAAACGCTTATTTGGTACATTTTCCTTGACAAGGTTCTTAGCATTCTTGTTTTCTTTTCCAGGTGCAGCGGGCACTGGACAAGAAACAAACGAAGCATGGGATCCAACGAACAACATCGAGGAAGCTATGTACAGACACCCTATTAGCATAGGCAGACAGACCAGCAGGCCCTCCATCAAGCCGCTCGGAAGATTTTTTTTCACCCATAAGGGAACCATCGAGATTATTTTACTTCCGGCTGGTCATGTCTAAGGGTCCTCACAAACCCACTAGGGGGGAGTGAGCTGTAGCGGTAAATAATTCCCCAAAATTATTGACCACAGCAATCATCACTCAACATCGGATGCTGACCCTCACTGTTTAAGTCGACTTGTTTAGCTGAAGGCTTCCGGTCAAGCATCCCCGCCATTTGGTACTCCGTCGTGTCACGTGCGTGCACGATTACTAGCTAGCTAAGCATTCACTTCTACCCGCGATTTGGTCCCGAAATATACTACGTACTTTGGACGGCTAAATCTGATCTTTTGCTTTATCTTTCGTACTCGAAGAGCGAACACTATAGAAGTTGTTGGTATAAGATCTTGCGTTAGTATAATCCGTACAGTTCGCGAACGTCGATACCTGCAACCCCTAAATCAGTATCGGTTAAGTGTTCCGGTACACAATAATCTTTCGATCAGTTTAAGTCGAAAGAGGTGGTTGATTTATTGCTGGATGGTTTCTGCGCTGAGAGCGGTTGGTTATAACGCTAGACTTGAAACTGCTGTTTAATCCTAGATGGTTTTGAAAATTATTTAAGCTATCAGCAGCGAGGGACTTACTAAATCTAAGAACTATGGGCACCTCTACTGACCTGACTGTTTGCCTTTATATGGTACGTTAACCATGCCACAGCAATCTAAGACCATGTTTTCAGCTGCGCGGAAAGACACTAGGCCTAGTACATAAAGCCACAGACAGCTAATATGAAGCTACACGCCTCATTACCTCAGTGGTCAAGCACTCAAAGGGTTTTCCTGCATTCGCTAGTTTTTCTGGAACAGTTTAGGGTGGTTTGTATAAAGGGTAGGCTACCGGGTCTAAAACCAAAAATTTTCCTTGATTTATATCAATCCAAGACTTTGTTTGCTCAGTATTACAGCAGTGTTCTGTGACATTTTAGACTGCTCGAGGTGTGCAGTCAGACAAATCTAGTTTTGTCTAGAGTTCATTTATTTACTATTCAAGTATTGTTTTCAGGGACTTAACTGGCTACATGTTTTGATCATGAGCTGACTTTGGTTAGGGAACCATCAGAAAACCTTGAAGTACTTAACAGCTGCTTCGTTCTATTTTTGGGCTCTTATTAGTACACACACCCGAGGTCAGAACCCAGAACCCCCGGTTACAAGGCGAGCTACTGGGACCCGATCCAGTGGTCCATAAATTCCTACTTCCGCCAATGTGCGATATGCGTTTGACTGTCATTTTCAAGAAAAGTCAAATGACAAAACTCAGAGCTTTCTGACGTTACACCTCCTGTATGCGTTGGATTAGTGAACATTTTGTTTGGTCCATTTAAATTTGTTAAGCTGGTAGAATTTCACCCTAGAACATGAATCGTTACCTCAAAATCAAGAAGCCAGCCTAAAAGATGAAAGTGATTTACGCTATCACGTCAAAAAAATAGATATCTGAGGTTGGATATTAGCTCATTATGAGTATATGAGAGTTCCAATGCAAAACTTCCTGAATTTATATCTAAAATTTTCTTATTATAAGTGACTGAGACCTTTTTCATGCTTGTTTCACTTAAATTATACAGTACTGCATTTGTGCAGCATTCACAAAACATTTTTGTTTTAATCAATGAATCTCGTCACGTTACTATTGTTAAAGAGTTATCTTTTTCAAACTGGCGTATTTTATTGGATTGGGTATGATGTAACGTAATTCGAACTTGTTGTTCATGTTTTTAAATATTATACTGGTCGTTTGCCCATAAAAATTACTTTACGTTAAGTGAAGTTACGGAATACCAGTCATCACAGAAAATAGTTCAAAGCGAACTAATGCACGTGTGCACGACTGTGTATGCTGTGTACCTGGTCGGACAAAAATGAACAAAAGCATGTGAATAATCGACATGGCCAATAGTAAAAAAATTGAAAAATCTCAGTTTTATGACAATATCTTAGACATTTTGACTGTTCCACCAGCCCGATCATTATTTAACCATGATTCGTCCATTATATATAATGTTTGCCAATCAAATTTACCCTTTTATCCCACGTTTTAGTCACTTTGCCCAGATGCATTAACCGACTGGGTCTCACCATTCGCTTAAATTTATATTCATCTGCTTAGCTAAATCGACCATGTATATATTAATGTTCACATGCATCAATGAATCGCTAACTATTCAGACTGTGATGCTTAGAGACACTTGTAAGCATTGGTTGGTGGAAACGTCTCTTATAGGTGAACAGGTTGACCTGCAGAAAAGGAAAATGGAAAAAGTAACATAAACGTATCCGGCAACCATTGAGAATAGATACCACAGCCAAATTAGCTTCAGCCAACCAAGCATTCTTCAAACCCTAGAAACTAGTTCCTATACACAAATATATTTTGAAGTATGAGCGATATGAATGGTTGTTATCGTTGTGACTGATGTGTGGTGTCTATTTTTGGAGTTGCTAGGCCTTTTTATTTTGGTTTAAATCAAATAACTGACGTTTTTGAGTGTACGATGTGATTTGGCTTTATTTTTCACAAAATAAATTTCAACTTCATATTGTTTGATTTAGGTAATTGATTACTCTAATTCCGAAGGTTTTGTGGATATCTTAACTCCTTTCATAATAATATTATTATCTAGATCTGTTTAACTGACCTTATCTTTCTCCATCTACCTGCATTTAAATGCGATTACACATCTGGATACTATGATGACTTGACCACCTCAAATTCTCGTGTTTTTAGTTAGAGTACTGTGCATATTTTCCAGCTTCGTCACCTGATAACATCACATAAAAACATATATATCGCCTTCAAATAGAGAAATACGCCAGACTCCTACCCTAGTTTCCTCTTTATAAACTTAAGTGACAACAAGGTTATACATCGGATCAGAACAACATGAATCTATTAATCTCACTGTTTTTTCTCCGCTACTTAAAACTTACAGTACCTTTTGCAACGCATTTTAGTCAAATATACACCACACACCAGGGCATATGATATAAATCAGTGATGCTATAGTGAATACAGGATCCTGTTATACATTCCGATAGTGGAGTGGAATATGAAATAAACATCTGAAAGAAATCTCGGAATAGAAATCTTAAGAAGTGACTACAAAGCTTGAAAGGCACTGAAACTGTCTTCAGAACTTCATGAACGGCTGTAAATTACAGTTTGCAATGTTGAAGGGGCTGTGTGCAACAAATAGTTAGTCGGTTATTTGATAAATCTATGGGACTTAGCTTTTCTACTGGAAGACTGAGGTTCTTCAAAACCACTAGTTCGGTACTGCTATAAGCTAGGAAAAACCTCATCACCAATACTACATTTGCGTGTCTTAATTTGATTGTGGAACTGGTAACTGGATGTCACAGGACTATAACCGTTTGCTTGCAGCATCCATCATCTACCGGAAAGCTAGAAAGGAAGTAGACGAAAGAAACATTCATGAGTTGAATGATCAAACATCCTCTGGGCTACGGGTATAGGAACCAGTTAGTATGCTGCTTGAATGACTTCGAGATCTCTTCTGATTGGCTTCAACGAGAACCAACGCCGATGATTGTTGTATGGCTATCACGCCAGGCCTGAGCTTTGGCCCCACTACCTTCTGACCTATCAGCCCGGCCCACTTGAACTGGTGGCCAGGCTGCTGTGACACTTACTGTAGTTTAGGGATTCACTGATTAGCGATTGTATGAAGAGGCTATAAAGATGAACAATCCCACCACAACTCAGCCACTGGACACTTATCCATTGAAAATCCATTGTCAAACATTTGCTTCAGTCCTCAAAAATAAACAAATTGACCGGTGAAGGTGAAACGACTGATCTTCAGTTGATTTAACGAACCACTTCGATTACCTACAAGGGTATGATATTGAAGAAGTTATCAGTAGACGAAGAAACACGTACTTGAACATGGGGAGGCGTGCGCATTTAGAGTCTGTGGTGGAAACAGTTAATAATAATAATTTGCTTTATTCCAAAACAGTACTTGTGATACAGAATGGAATTCTCAGCATTTTACTACAGTATTGCATCCAGTTAGTACATTATCAATAAATAAAATTTTACATAGATTAAGGTAATCTCAGTTCATTATGACAACAACATATTGGCAAGTCGGTAGCAAAGCCAAAATTGAACAGTGTTTGAAGGTGTTAGAAAAGTAGATACTAGCATATTTACTGGCGTAAGCAGTAATAAAAAGGTCGAGATATACAGAGTGTGAAAGAACGAAGATGGATGTTTTAAATAGAGTTTGTAAGGAAGAGAGAAACAAAGCAGCACATAACAGAAAAGAAGAGAAAGGAAAAGAAAGAAAGAAAACGTTGTACCTATTAATGATGTGAGTTGGAAAGACGAGATCCAGTTGTTCTACTGACTATTTAATAAATTATAGGTATCACGCCTAATGCTTTCTTCATCGCACAGAACCCGAGCTAAGTAGGGTATGTTTGAGTTTTTGTACTTGCTAGTGCGAGCATATAGTTTCCTATATAGGCTTCTGGTTTTGCCTGATGAGATACAAGGGGAGAGTTTTGAATGAAGAGGGTGATGTGAGTTAGATAAAATGGATTTAGCCCATTTTTCACATGAGTCCAAGTGCCTGTCAACCAGAATATTAACAAGCTGGTTAAGTGGCACGTTGCTTACCCTGCTGACGACTTTTAACATCCTACCTAATAAGATATAGTCCTTCTTCAGTAGCAGTGGAAAAACTAGGGGGGAATAATAGAGAATAATATGCAGAATGCGAGAGTTAACGAATTGTAGGAGTGAGGGTTGGGTTATACCAGAATGTCTCCACTTCTTGATGTAGAAGGTAAGACAGACTATTTTTTTAGAAATCACCAAGATATGAGACGACCAGTTGGCCGACGCAACTAGTTTAAATTAGATGTTAATAAAAACTATTACCGCATGGATATAAGAATAAAACTTGTGCACTGTGGTAAAGTTCCATCATGGGTAAAATTTGTTTTGATAAAATAAACATTACTGTATAACACTGCAAGACTTTATGAAATCAAATTTTACCCATAATGGAACTATTACCGCATGGTGTGATTTTGCAGTTTCTATTGAATCGCACTACAACAACCACGACTGGTAATAATATAATATTTGGCAGTGATTTAAATATATAGAATGAAAATACGTTTCAATAAACAATGGTATTTTAATAGGTCATGCTGCCCAGGTTTGGTGATTGTCAAAGTCTGTTACCTTCTGTACGCATTATTTGGGATGCATGTGATCGGGCAAGATGGCTTCCACTGTCTATAATAACCTTAGCTTATAATAACCTGAAACACTGCTTCGCGACACAATAAAAGACCTTGAAAACGATAATGGTAGCAGCTCCTATCTGAGAGCTTCAGAAACCATAGAAGCATTTAATGTTCACAGACTTTTAAAACAGGGAAATGCTAGACGAAATAAAGATCCGGAAAGACATCTCAGGATGGATGTCTTGAGAACTACCTATAAAGAGTGGTCAATTGACGAATTCTACCGATGAGATAATTAGGTCCTGGTTTTTTAGTATATTTTACCTTTCTAAGAATCAGTTTCGTTAAGTGAACAGATATATTTGTAAAAAAATTATATTTGTAAAATCTCAGCAAGATTGAAATGAGTAATTCCAACGTTTCGTTCGGCAATCTGGTCCGAACTTCTTCAGGGAAATTAATCGAAATTAACATAACAGAGGTTTATATATAAAAGGAACATCACTTGTTTTTAAAAACTTTGTCCAATCATGAGTCATATCTTCTTATGGAGACGTTAAGAAATGTTTTACAACCGTTTACCCACACACACATACACACTCTGTTTAAAGTGTTTAACAAAGGTAGACCAATATTTGTAAGTCCGAGGTCAAACTTTGATCACAGCTCATAAAATTTTGTTTACTATACTTGATTGGACAAAGTTTTTAAAAACAAGTAATGTTCCTTTTATATATAAACCTCTGTTATGTTAATTTCGATTAATTTCCCTGAAGAAGTTCGGACCAGATTGCCGAACGAAACGTTGGAATTACTCATTTCAATCTCGCTGAGATTTTACAAATATAATTTTTTACAAATGTCTACTTCTCACTCGGCACCCAAATATTTTAGAACTATTCTGTCAAATCTTGACGACAGTTCATTTGAACAGATATATATTGCATAGAATAATTGGTGGCTAGGATGTGAATAATGTAATTGGTTTTATCTTGTAGGATAGGGATGATAGGACGATGGAATTTACTATATTACCCGAATTTCACCTTCAAAATGGAACAGGATTATTTTTTTTGTACGTTTATTTTGTGTTAAACGTCAAGTAAGTCTTTTTAAGTAGTCATGAAACACTAGTTTAATATCAAACGTCTGCGCAGTTGTTTAGTGTCCTTCAAATTAGTATACGAAAACTTTAAACGGCGTGTGTAACCTCGTTTTGAAGTACAGTCAATTGGGAAACCTTTATTTACAGCATTTTGTTATAGTGTTCGCTATGCTTTTGACTTCCAGCTGACTGAAAGTCTGTTATCCATTTCCACTGTAGTTCATACAGTATCATGTTGTAAAAGACAGTGATTACAGCCAGAGCAGGAGGTCTCAAGCTGCTTTGTGCTTCATCAGATAAATGTTAGATAAATGGGAGCCTCACTGTCATGTAAAACAAAAATGACCTCTTACTTTTCATGGATAACAACTTCCCCTAAGTCACTGACTTTTGTGTCTTGCTGTGATGGTTTAATTTTGTTCATGTTAATTATCCCTTATTCTTTGATGTTAACACTCCTTTCGTGTCTTGGTTTTGCACTGTCGCTGCTATATATTCAAATTTCATGATGTAAATAGCTCTGGACGTTTTTATGAATGTTACAAGTCTTACTTACTTATGCTTACTTAGTCTTCTATGATAAAAATATGGTGTTAGCTTATACTGAAAACTCTTTTTGTCATTTTAAACTTTGATGGACTCAGTGGGAAGTGTAACTAACCAGTACTTTTAAATATTTTTCCAGTAGCCATATATATATTATACTATTTATGAAGGCAGCTTGAAAGGAGAAATTTCCTCCAGATTTGCTATGAAGCTGCAAGTTCAGCCTGCACAGTTTTATCAACCTGCTCTAAAGTGAATGTCCGAAAGCAGATAAAAGTAGCACAGTCTAACTTACTTTTCACTTAATACTGCGTTTAGACAGATTCTTTTCTTTGTTTAACGAAGTATTTTCCTCAGTCTTAATATCGTATTATGACTGCGCCAACCATTGTTTATGCAACTCACATAAGCCGTGACAATTAAGACGGTGGATATGTTTCACTTGTATATTTCATCGCTGACCAGTCTACAGTTCACACTACAGAGAAGAAATCATATAAGGCTGGATGAACGATAAGCGTTAGAAAGTCACGTGATGAATAAGGCATCAGACTGATACGTTTAAAATATCTGTTATATATTTCATAAGTAAGTTAACTCGAACATCACATTCAGAGATTATTGATTGATACCGAATCTCAATTTCAATATATACATACGGACAAATTGAATTTAGATTTTGATTTCATTTCTGTAGAAACGATGGAAAATGACAAAATCCTTGAAATTAGCTCTGGACAATTGGAAAAACTATCACCACAAGTAACTAATTTCCCAATAATTGCAACATTCGTCTTGTGAAGATCAAACGATTTATTAGTTTTGTCAATGGTCTCAAAAAGCCAACAAGTGAGCAGTTAGAGGACTTCAACGAAAAGTAAGACTATATTTTATTCCAACTATACCTGGCACATATATTTGTTTGAAGGGCGACACAGTTTATAAAGGAATTGAACAAAATCAATGAGACAGTAAAACAAATTAAACAGGTAACAATGTGCATTCATGTCAGACTATTTTTACAACCATGGAAATAGGACAAGGACTCAGAAAATCAAAACCCAAAACTGGAGTCAATGAAAAGTCAACTCCTAGTCAAAATCTCCACACTGACTGTAAGTAATTAATACCGTACATCTAGTAAGATTTTCATTTACAGGATAAATTAAGCAAACTAGACAAGAAAATTGGAGTAATGTAATATTGGTGTTTATTAAATTATCATTCCATACCAATTGTTAGTGATGGTAATTCTTTGTCAGCGAATGAAAGCATCACCAGGCGAGATTCAAAGTCTCAAGATCCAGGTAACTGTATATAATACAAAATAATTAATGACAAAACGTCTGCTGTTTCCTAACACTTATGCTATATTAACCATGATATAGTGAAAATGAATTTTTCACAAGCAAAGTAAACGTCAATCGAGTTTATTGAAAAATGTTGTAAACCATTGTATGGTAGATATCCAATCTTTTTGAGTGGTACGGTCTGCCACAGACCTTTCAGAAATTTAAAATAAATCATTCACCACGCGTCAAACAGTTCAATTCACTCAAGTGAATACTGATATTTGAGCGGTTTCATCTCGATGACGTTACAACTTAATACTGCTGCCTATTAGACGCCAAAAGTTTGAAATTTTTAAAAGTCAAGTGGACTACCTAGATGGTGTCTATTAACAACGTACACACCTAGTTTTAAATCAACATTTAGTAAGTGAAACTTTAAAAGGAATGTGCAGACTGTGTAGGAGTTCGTCCCAACTCAATATAGTAGAGATAAAAAAGACTGAATGTTTGTGATTGCAAGTGCCTCTATTCTGTTCCATGCTTTCGGTGGAAAAGAGATCGTTTATCTCCATAGACTGTGATCGCTAAGAAATCCTTTATGTATGCAGAGCTGTCGTCTTCCTCAATAAGCAGTGTTAACTGACATAGAATTAAGGGCGATTTAATGATGACACCAGCTGAATGAGTTCTTTAATTGTTGGGCTGAACCAGGTTGGGATGTGCGGAGTACCTGGCTAGGGTCGCCTGCAGGCTAAGAACAAATGTTTGGATATTGTTGGTGATATCGCCTAAAATTGTTTGCAATTGCATAGATGTATTCACTCCTTATAGTCATCATGATTCTGGAAGTGCAGTTCAATCTTCATCTACTTATGCTTGCTGTCGTATATCTTCATCCATTATTGTTTAGTTCGGTTCCATCTCCTCCCTTTTCTATGTGTACTTTACTGAAATTTGGCAACTTGAACTGAACTGACTCAGGATGAAAAGTAAAGCTCATTAAATAGAGTGACAGATATTCTTATTAGCATAAAAATCTAACGAAGGCTTGACTTTTGAAGTGATGGATTTTTTAGTGAACATTCTTGACCAGTACACAGCTATTTTCGGAATTCAGTTAGATGTGTGTAAATTGAGTGTTCAGCCTACATATTTCATTAACCTGTACTTAAAATATTCCCATTTTTAATATTAGAACAAGACAAATAAGCGAACAATATTGTTTTCAATTAGATCTTCTTCAGGCTTTACTCTAATTTACATAGATTTATATATAAAACAGAATTTAACCAATGACGGTGATTTTGTGGATCAAATAATAATAATGACGTTAATAACGATGATTACAATGATAACAAAATATTGATAATAAGGTTTATGCAGGTGGCGATAAGAATAACGAAGGTAGTAATATGTGTATATGTAGACAATTCAATAAATAAATTTGGTCAAATCTTAAAAGTTACGTAATACTAAGGGTGAAGTGGACAGATAATCAGACTTTAAATAAATAACATAAAAATACGAAGGAGATGGAAAATAAGAAAGGGTGGGAGGGTTTTGAATAGAATTCACCTAGGCCAAGGGAGAGACAAAGGTAGAACAAACTTCTTTTGTATGCAAAGACTGGGATTGTTATCTCGAATTCCCAAAGCTTCGGCTGTGTGTAAAAGACGGATTCGAATTAATAATAATAATAACAATAATAATAATTTACTTTATTCCAAAAACAGTACTTGTGATACAGAATGGAATTTCAGCATTATCAACAATAAAAATGGAATAATAATGATGATAGCAGCTAAGGTAATATTAATAATACAAGTGGAAATGCCGTGGGCTTGTTTCACACAGTATTTCGATGCGGTATACAATAAACCCTTCGAAAAGCTCGATGGAATGCGATAGATAACTTTGAAGGCAGTATTTTTGTCCACTTGGTGACCGCTATCAATCAAATGAGCCAAAATAGAACTTATAGATTTTATTTGACCTTTACCGGACCATGAAGGAAGATGCTCACTAATGCGTTTGTTAAGTTGTCTAGTTGTTCGCCCTATATAGCTCTCTCCACAGGAGCAACTAAATTTATAGATACACATAGATGTGGCACAGCTAAGTAGCTTGTCTTTCACTTGAGCAATCATAATTGGTCGGCTAGAAAATGACAAACAAAGGGTGGTGGCAGTATAAGTCCGTTTTATCGCTCTCGATAATCTCAGATGTAAGACTTCGCTAGCCACGTCTCCATTAAATTGCGATTTCATGAACAGTTGTTTCTTTTCAACTGTTGTCAGTTTCTCTTTATTGTACTTGGTGTTCATGTGTCTCCTTACAAATCTACTAGGATAACCCATTTGGACCAGCGTATTTTGGATGTATCCTAACTCATTTTGTAGGGAGTCATCTGTACAGATACGTCTTGCTCTATTCGTGAGGCATCTGACCACACATAGCCGAAGCTATGGGAATTCGAGATAACAATCCTAGTCTTTGCATACAAAAGAAGTTTGTTCTACCTTTGTCTCTCCCTTGGCCTAGGTAAATTCTAATCAAAACCCTCCCACCCTTTCTTATTTTCCATTTCCTTCGTACTTTTATGATATTTATTTAAAGTCTGATTATCTGTCCACTTCTACCTTTAGTATTACGTAACTTTTAAGATTTGACCTAATTTATTTATTGAATTGTCTACATATACACATATTACTACCTTTGTTATTCTTATCGCCACCTGCATAAACCTTATTATCAATATTTTGTTATCATTATAATCATCGTTATTATATTACGTTCAAAACATTTACCACATTATTATTATTCATAATTATTAAATATTGTTCGCTTATATGTCTTGTTCTAAATTGTACTTTGTTAGTGAAATCATGTAAGATAGGCAAACACCGAGTATCTACTATTTCATGTCGGATTTTAATTATTTAAAAATGCTAAACAGTGGTGCTACACAAGATAATACTACAAAAAATAATAAAGAGGTCATAAAAGCAACTAACTATATTTGGAGTCATCAGGGACAAAGTATAGTAAGTTTGGTAGCGTTTAGTAATCCTTGCAGTATGTGTGCCTGTGGAGATCCAGTTTCCATGTTCATCAAGGAAGCCAACACTTATAATTTAAGTAATGAGTTCTATTCATCGACCATCAGTATCCCTGTTAAAATTCTATATAGCCTTAACAATGTTCCATTGGCCTACGAGTGACCAGAACTGATGAAGATTATCCAGTAAACTAAGGGATTAAAACAACTAGCAGATTGTCACACATTAAGACAATAATGAAGACTACAGAGGTGTGTAGTACATCAAGTGCATTAAGATAAAGGTCGATTACGACAAGTTTATACACTTAACAGTTATCATTGCAGTTATCGTAATGCATGACTCAAGAAAGACACACATTCTGTCATTTTAGAATCGACACTTCCAACAAGTGATACTACAGACATAAACTTAAACGAAGACAAAGTTGGCGGGTCAAGTAAAAAGGATAAAGGCAAGAAGTCAAAAGGCGAAATGAAATCAGCGGAAGTCAAAAAAACCAAAACAAAAGCAGTGAATGATGTCAAGGATGGTGTTACAGTTGTTGCACAAGTGCATGCTGTTGAAGATGTGAATGAAAGTAACGAAGATATTGATAATCATGATTGTGTTGATAATAATAATAATAACGATGCTAAAGATGATGGTAAAACCTCTGGAAAGCTTAGATCTCCAAAACGATTATTAAAATCTGGTGAGTTAGTAGCACACACACTTGCAGTTTATGCCTGATCATTTTTACAGGTAAAAAGGCCAAAACACCTAAAGATGAAAATGAAGCTTCTCTCAAGAAAAGTAAGAAGACGAGTAAAAAGAAAGAAAAAGCAACTAATGGTAATTCAGAGGTTATTTTATCATTCTGAGGTTTGTATTTCTGAATAAATAGTTGTCCCACCTGATGCATTATGATCAGAAGTAACATTGGATAGATGGTATGATAACGTCGAATGAATAGTTAAGTGTCATTCATTCATATGACGTCTGGTGAGAAACCTGTAAAGGCTGAAGTGAAGTGATGACTTTTTCAGTGACCAGATCACGCAGCTACAGGTTAGTAGTACGAACGCCATTGGTTACAATCTTATCTAGATTTCTATTCCACCACCACCACTCATCTCCACACTGCGTCAGTATTAGTCTGTCATTCCGAGTACATCTCAAGTAGTCTTGTAGGTAATTTTATCTATCTAATGTTCTTCATTTTTAAAAGCTCCTTTCAACGCTGATGGGAAACCAACATTTGAAAATTAATCTAATTACCACTAGTAACTGCCCATAGGACTAAGTTTCGTTGAGTTGTAGGGAGAAGTTCTCACCAATGAAGTCCACCAAGTTAAGGTATGACGACAAATACATGTCGATGACGTTGTCAGGAGGTAGCTCTTAGAGTTGTGGACCTCCAGAAGTTAGAATTCACAGGCCACCGGATTCCGTCCCAGAACCGAAATGGTCAACAGTCTTTCCTCGTAGCCTGAGGGTCCTTAGTTAGATCCCCGGTGGCGATGAATGTCCCGAACTGGGACGAGACAGCTGTACAGTACTGGCTGCCCAACTGATATCAATCCGTCATCAAAATGGAAACCAATCTAATCCCTAGAAGCTAACACTGAAACTGGTCATTGCGCTTTTATCTTCCAATTTTAGTTTGAAAGCTCATAGAAACAAATGAAATTACGATGACCAGTATCCTATTATCCTTTGAGCAGGTCGGATATCGCAGGCTGATATATTCACACTACTTCTGTCAAGTGTTTATTCAAGAATGAGAAGTTGTTATTAAGTCTGTCTGCATTTTATTCCTAGTTGAAAGTATTTTCTCATGAAATTTAGTAAAATTATTTCTCACTAGGCAAGTCAAACAAAGTGAAAAAAGCGAATGATGAGAAACTGCTGATTGAAAAACCATCCAGTAAACAAGGAAACAATGCAGAAGATATTGAAACGATAGAAGAGTTGGAAGATGAAGAAGGTCGAGAAGACGAAAGCGAGGCGGATCGAGTTGAACCTTTTCAGAAGGATACCAGTGAAGTTAATGAAAAGACTGATACAAAGGAAATAATCATTTCACAGAATTCCTCTCAAGTCAATACTGAGGTATTATTAGAAAACATTTATTAGAGAAGAAAATGTTCTTCTTCTTTCATGTTGTAGAAGGTAAACCAAATGACTGAGGCTGTGCCACCTATCCAACCAAATAAAGAGGCAGCCATAGAGGTATAACAATGTTTAGCTTTTCTTCATTATTTTTAATTGCTTAGTTTTATCGAACATTTCGTCAATGGGCTGGAGAAGATGAAGACGATTTGTCATTTAATTCTGGCGAGACTTTAAGGATTATAGAGAAAGAGTAAGTAAAGGATGAAAAGTTCTAATGCAATTCTCAATTTTACTCTTTCATCTTTTTGACTTATTATTCCCATCTTCTGATTTATTTATGAGCTATAAATTTGTTTACTGCAACTGTAGACTAGTGTGCGTCGGTGGCATAGCGGTTAGGACACTCGCCGACCATGCACATGGTCCGGGGTTCGATCCCAGGCCGACGCACTCCTTTACCTCGCTAAGCCAGAAATAATGCTGGTGAAGGGGAAAGGTTGGGCATGAGGCTAGCAACCCTCCTGTAAAATAAACACTGCTAAAGAAACTTCAAGCCACTAGCTTGAAGTCCTATGTTCCACTGGACTGAAGGATAAAAACTGTAGACTAGCACAGTCTGTTTACTCGACATTATAGCAGCACAGGTTACAGTTAACTGCTTTATTTAGCCTGGTTTAATGAACACTTGTTTACATGTTTTTCCAAAATATCACACTTTTATACGATGCTATGGGAATATATCAGTTCAAGTACGCAGGTCTAACTCTTTAAATCCATCCTACCGCAGACAGGAAACAATCAATTAAAAAATGTAGTATTAAGTAATGTACCATGCAATCGGACAAATTCAAGTCTTGTGCTTAGAGAAATGAAATACATTTGAATTAACCGAATGCCATGCACTTAAACTGGACTGGTGAATACTAAGTACTCTACGATTTATCTTAAGAATTAGGAAATCTGTTTATAGCGTTATAGAACCAACCCTAGGTTGTCTTTTCTATCGACGTGTAATTCCTCCATGAGGACTTATCAACATGAATAAGCATTTACTGACCGAATAGAAGAATGTCATTTATGAGTAATGTGAATAAGCTTCAAATGAAAGCCGTTTATAAACTTTGATAAAGGTCAAAATTTCTATCCTTCTTTATTGATTTCAAATAAACGGGTGAAGTTCTCATGAACTTTGATCAAGATTCGACGTAAATGTTTCATAGAAATCGGTCGCCGATCGGGAGCTGGACACGCAAAGGGATTTATTTTTGCAGCACTTTCAGCAGCATTGGGATGAAAAATTCTGACATTTCGTCTGGAAACTGATGAGGAATTCTTCGCAGAAATATTCGAAATTTTGTGTAATCATTAACGTTTTTTGAAGGGTACTTTGTTTAGTTCTAGAAACATTCAGAGTTTATGGAATCAGATTATTTGATCATTTCAAATTTAAATTATTCAGCAATCGGATGCAAATTATACCTCATCAAATTTGAGCAACATTTCATGAATGGAAACTGCGCTGAAGATATTTGTCGTTATTCACATCAGTTATCTACTTACATACTCACCTTTGATTACGCAATAATTTATTGTAAACTCTCTGTAGAAACCAACCATCTGATCCATAGTTAATCTTATCTTGTTTTGTTTGCATTTAGTGATGATGGCTGGTGGCTTGGAGAAAATATCCAAGGTCAACAGGGTTTAGTTCCAATGAATTTTCTTAAAGTAATGTCACAAATTCATTTCTGTTTTTAACTGTTATATAACCGTCCACATAGAAAATTGATCTTACTGAATCAGAGTGGCAGAAAATGAAATCGGTAAATGCATAATCCACTTCATTAAGTTATTAACCTTTTTAATCAAAGGAATATGAAAAGAGTGGTAAAATGCAAGCCGAAGACAGTCCGCAGACATACAGTGATGCTGATGACGAACAAGGTGATTTTGTTCCTATTTAATGCTTATTTTTGTGTGTGGGATTATGTAGTTAATGAAGGCGAACTGGAAGAAAGGAAAGAAATTAAAGTTCTGCAAACTAAAAATAGTACTAATCAGCCTACTGTTCGTACTGAAGACATCACTAAACATGATGATGATGATGATGATGATACTTGGGGAAATGAAGTTGATAATGGCCAAGAAGACGAATTTGAAGACACTTATAGTGTTGAAGAGGAGGTTGACGATGTAGAAGACAACGACGAGTATAATGAAAGCGGAGAAGACAAAGTTAAAACAGTACTAAATGATACAAGTAAAAGCTGCACCGTAGCCCAATTTAGGTATGCTGAAAAGGGAGTGAATATAAAGAATGCCTTAATCTTTCATTTCTTCCTTCCTTTAGTACATTCCAAAGTGAAAAGGACATATCAAGCTGGTATATTAAGGTAATTATTAGTTTACACCAGTTTCCTGCTTATTATCTTCCAAACAATATAAATGGTGCTTTTAATAAAAAATGATTAAAGAGTAACGTATTATCATCTCTTCAATAAAAAAAAACAATGTTTTTCATTGGTCTGAGGTATTTGACACACAATAATGCAGAAATTATACACTGTTTTATGCTCATGGAGGAGTGTGCAACACAAAGACTATCTAATACACCTGTGAAGCACTACATAAAATGAATTCAAGAGACCTACATCGTTTGTACCTCACTATTCGAATTGAAAGAATACAGGAGGAAAACTTAAGCAAGATGACTACTTGTTACAACTTTGGGCTATGTCAGTGAAAATTCCAGCCCCATGAGTCACGCTTTTAAAAAAAGTGAAGATGCTAACTGAATTAATTTGTCTTTTACTCGATTAAAACAAATTTAATCTTTCAAAAAAGAAAGTAATCGATCTAAAAGACTTCTGAACTAGCTTATTTGAAGTATGTAGTATTTTTTTCGTTCTTCAGCTAAATTGTATATGAATACATATTTACATAGGATGCAATCTGTCAGTGTTAGACCTGCATATTATAGGGGACCTGCAAGATTATAGGGGAATAGAAATTCCTAATCATGTGTATATAACTTGATGGTAATCATATACTATATATATATATATATATATATATATGCACCCTAATGAACGATAAGAGTGTGTATATAATTCTAGTCACTGTTGTATGTGACTCAACTAGACGAGTGGAGAAATCATCAGTCTCTCGAAAGACGGTTAAAGCAATAAAGTAATCCAATAGTTAGAAGTGCGAGGACAAATACTCGCCGAAGACATTGGCTTGGGGTTGCGCTATATCGTGAATTGGCAGAAGTTAGAATTCATGGGCCATTGGATCGGGTCCCAGTGGCTTAATGGTGTACGAGCTCGCCTTGTAACCAGAAGGTCCTGGGTTCGAACCCCGGTGGGTGCGTACTGATGAAGAGTCCCGAACTAGGATGAAACAGCTGTCCAGTACTCCCTGCAGGTTTTCCAATGGTTCTCTAACCAATGTCAGCTCATGATGAAATCCTGTAACCAATCAACCAATACTTGAATACGAATAAAATGTATTTAACATTTTTATGACAGTGAAAGTTCCATATGACAGGAACTTACCAGTCTAAATTGGCATCATGTTCAACCAAACACAAAGTAAGCTGTACTACATACACAGTGGACGAAGAATAGAAAAATAAAGGTAGCTACATTTAATAGTGTGAAATATTCCCATATTATGAATTAAAAGTCAATCTGAACGAAGAATATTCTTTTCAATAATTTCTCCTATTCAGGTTCTTACAATTATAAAATATAATATTTGTTGTCGTTACAATAATGATAGCCAGTTATGCGGCGGATACATTTTGAACGTAGAATAACAGATTAGTAGTTATGGGGTGTCAAAATAAATAGTCGTATTTGTGTGAGAAACATCTTTCTAGGCTGAAATCGATTACAAAATATTGTAAAATGGGAGACAATGGTGATTAGTCATAATAGATTTGTAGAGTGTGGGGTAGGAAAATTGACAAGTCAGTTCAAGGTTATAAAAGATGTCAGGTGAGTGGCTAGTACAAAGTGGTATGTGTTAAACAGGAGATAGTAAGAATGCAATGAGAGGTTCATAATGAAATAACGAATATGTGAAATGAAACAGGTGGAGGCATATATTGAGAAAAGAGATAATATCACTAATAATAAGTCCGGATAGTATAAATGAAAATTCGATAGTATTGAGGGAATGTTTGCATGAAGGGCATAAATTATGACGAATAATAATAATAATTGTAATAATAATACTTGTAATAATAAGCAAAGGAAAAAAACCAAGAGGGTTAAGGGGAAGGAGCACTCTTGGTGAGAAGAAGAATCATCAATCCAAGTTTGGCCACGGTAGGAACAGCGTCTGGACGTGTTCTTTTTGGATACAAAGTTCCGGTTTAGTCGATGTTATTGCAACAGCTTCAGCTATGTGTAGGAGACGTAAGCGAACTGTACGTGATAACGACTTCGGAATTCGGTATATAACCCTGAAAGCTGTGTTGACATCGATACGATGTCCAGTATCGACCAAGTGTGACAGGATCGAGCTTTTTATGCACTTAATTTCCCCCCTGCTGAACCAAGCTGGTAAATGTTCTCGAACCCGTAGACGAACCTGCCTAATCGTGCGCCCTATATAACTTGAACCACAGGAACAGTTGAAATGGTATATGCATGAAGAAGAGCTAAGGTTAGGTAAGACATCTTTGAGTTGCTGGGTGAACGTTGGACGGCTACTGAAGGATAGACTCAGACGTGCAGAGTAGAAAGTTTTCTTGATCGCCCTGGCTACATTTGCTTTCTGTTTACATCCCCATTAAACAAACCTGTTTCATGTATACGCTATAGGCCACTAGTTTTCTTTTACACTGGTAACTAGTCAGTTTCTTAAGGCATCAAAGTCAAACAGACTTATGTCTATCAGTTTGACTGTTATAAAACTGATTTGGAATGGTAACACTGGATATCCTTGATAAAGACCACTTGTTATCCTCATATCAGATAATGAATATTAAAGAAAACAACACCCCTATGCTTGGATTCCAGTAGAGATCCTTGATAAGCAAGCATACTGTGCTTTCTTAGCACCACACTGAAACGATAACACTACAAAAAACTTCTTGTAAATTTACATCTAAATAAACTCGTATCAACCAAGGAAAATGTCCTATTGGATGACTACACTTCATCTATTCATCAACGAGCTTTGAAGCCAAAAGTGAGTACAACTCTTTATTGACATGGTTTCAAAGTGTTGAGACCAGCTGATAGTAGGAAGATCAAAATGGTGATTTCATTGTTTATTTTATTTATCAATAAATTCAGAACAAGCCGCACAATTTTACAGATTTCAACTATTCTTAGTGAATGCTTATCATTAGATACACTATCTTCATTCGTCGACAATCTTTTACCGAGTATAAATGAAGTACATCGTTATTTGCCTATTGGTTTGTGTCTTTTGAAAACATACATAAGGTTTACCTTTTTTTAAATTTTCACTAGAATAATGAAAAGGCTGTAAAATCTTATCAACCACTGCCCAGCGGTGTTCGTCTAAGCTTTCTTTCACTACCAGGTAAGCTGTGAAGATCTTTTTAAGAATTATTATGCATGACTATTAATTTCAGACGGTATTACAGTACTACAACCGCTAGACTTGTTGATTTCAATTAAAGTGATCATATACATAATGCATAGAACAAATTTGAACTGTCAAAAAGAGATTAACTTGGAAATTTAGTGTCTCAGCAACCTGAAATGATTCACCGCAGACACAGATCTGATAGACTTGACTTCAAACTAGAGAAACAGTTATTAGATCATCTCAATTAGGCCGACCAAGGTGCTTTTATTGACTGACAGCTGACATCATATACCATTTGTTGAAATATTCTTTTATTGTGATAAAAACATTCGTTATGAACTCTTATGGATATATGTGTAAATATGTTTAGTGTGATTTTATCCTTTCAGGTTTTTCAACAAATTATCACATAAGTCAACTGGTGGGTGATGACTAGCAGTGGAATCCAGGATGCGCATTTCGCACTATTTGGGACTCGTCATCTGGATGCACCTGCGTTCTTCAGTAAGTGACAGTGTTCCCACCGAGGCCAAAGCGTTATCCACTAGACCACTTGGCGTTTGAAACTATGGGCACTGGGTTCGAGCCTAGGTGGGGACATCATTACTCACTGGGGAACGCAAGTACATCCAGCTGACGAGTCCCAGATAGTGCGAAATGCGCATCCTGGATTCCACTGCTAGTCACCATCCACCAATTGACTTCAAGTTACATGAACAGACATTGTCGAAGCATCTGCATAAGGAGCCGACATGTCAACCTGAAACCGAGCACTTCGGTCCAATCAATGTGCAGGAAAATCTAAGATTGAATTATCACATATTTCAAATGTGTATTTTGTACTATCTTGCTGCAAAATTTTTGAAATCCTCTTAGTTACTACCTCGTTTGGCAGTATCACTACACTTGTTGCTTTAATCACAAGAGTTTCATTAACTTTGTGCCAGATGCCAGTTGACGAAGTTATCTCAGTGTGTGTGTGTGTGTCTGCGTGTATGGAGCCTAGAATCTTGTCAAACATGCAAATTTATATACTCCGGTATTGTTTAGGTTGTAAGCAGTTGAAAAGAATCTGGGAAATAATAGTTAGCTCATATTATCCAGACAACTTGCTCTGATTAGATTTCTCAGTCATATGAAGAATTGTATAATGGTTTGAAAGAAAATTATAAATTATTCTATCCCTTTATTATTTACATAGATGGTGTGTTTTTCTGTAGATGTGGTTTCTGTCATTTCGCTTGACTCCAGAAATTCAACATTCTACTTCTTCATGATTATGCGAATGTATATTTTCAAATCACGGAATATACACATTTGATCATTGGAAATAAAAAGACAGTTGCAGCGAAGAAAATTTTCTTTTCGACGAGGTCATCATCTAGGCTGTACATTCGTGTATTTATATTTATTTTATTTTATTTATTTTTATTTACATTTCTAACCCCCAATTGCACAATGTCAATCATCTTAGTTATTACGCTACTTTGTTTGAGTTTTATCCATCCCCCTGTTTATTACGGCATTCTAATTCCTAATTGTAATTTTTATTAATTTGACCCCTAACCAGAAATTATTCTGGAACTTTCCCATCCACTTCATATAAATACACGGGCAACTCTAAACAATAGGAACCCAAAACGAAACGACCTTCGAACGCACAAATGACCTCGTCAAGGACCAATCCGAAGGCTCAAGAAAAACGACAATAGTTGTCCCAGGCAGCACTAAGCGCTACACAATAGGCAATAATACACATGCCCTGCGCTTAGGGTTCGCCTCAATATGTCCCTTCTGGAGGCTAGTGTCATATATCCCTAAAACCTATTGCTGGAAAAAACAGTCACCTGATCGGTTGCTCAAGCTCATTTGTGCGTTCGTAGGTCGTTTCGTTTTGGGTTCCTATTGTTTAGAGTTGCCAATACACGAATGTACAGCCTAGATGATGACTTCGTCGAAAAGAAAATTTTCTTCGCTGCAACTGTGTTTTATTCCCTAGAATGTATATTTATTTTTGTTTAATATCTATAAATCTTATGAACTGAAATCAACAACAATTCTGGAGTGTTTTGTTAAGTTTTTTTTTAATTTTATTTTTTCGCCTTCTTGTCTTTTCATTTTGTAGGACTAAATTCATTTAACTATCAGAAGTTTTTGTCACCTAAACTCGGAAGTTCACATCTCGTTTTCACGGACATCCTTTTAGACGTTGACGGTAAAAAGGTAGGCTTAAAGTGAAACGCCCGGATTATATGTAACTGTTTTAATACTTAGTTTAACCGTTGTTATTTGAGCAGTGTTTTCCATTGGTAAAGTAAGCTACATAAGCCACACACCGTCTGTATCAGCCATAATTGTACTACCTTCTAGAACTTGAAATAAATGTCTATGATTATTATTTCTTTTCATAAATAACTGTTAATCCTAGTTTCCAGTTGGGTAAATAAATGATGCACAAGTCAGTAACAGGCAGGAGATTGATTTCCAATTATAGATTAGTGACTGACCACAAGATGGACCTCCTGGATTTCTAACATAAAAATGTGACTAGTGGGTTCCACTGAAAAGTTTGAGAAGACAGATACTTTACGATAACCGTTGGATTTCTACCCATCGACTGAGTGGTGACGTGACTCTCTTGTAATCTGAAGAACGTAGGTTCAGTCTACAAGGCAAAAGGATGTTCACAGGTGCCTATTACTGAGGAGTCCCAATGGGGGACGAAACATATATTCAGTGTTCTCTAGTTCCTAATGGTTCCTCATGTGATGTGGCTTTTTGTGATGAGACTGTCCAAACAGATATTCAGTCACATCCATGAGTATTTTGGAAAGCATTCACTGGTTATACTTTGAGGAGAGATGTACTCCACTCGTGAATGAAAGGAAAATTTGCCAAAAGTAAAATGTCTCATTATGATGAAAATTACCCTATCAGACATTCTCATCATTCATTTGCATATGACTCCTCTATGTTATTTTCATTATGTAGATTACACGACGGCAACCACGTTGGCAAAAGATTCTAACAATTCAGAAAATCAGTCAACTGTCACTTCTTGAAGAGTCAAGTATGTGTCATATAATGAATGCGGTGAATTGCATCAAAATAATAATTTTACATTTTTATAGATTTGTCAATATTGAACTGTCTAATTCGTTTATGCTTATTTGATGGCGTAAAGGTAAGTTAGTTGTACGAAGGTGGTACTCAAATCAACCTGATTAGTTCTTATTAGCATTCACAGTGTACATCTCAATGTCGTATTTTTTTACAGATGAGGTGTAATTGTAAGATTTTCTCTATTTAACCTTTAATATGATCAACTTTAAAAAGGTATAAGACCAGCAGAGAGGCAGTGAACTGGCCAAATTGTTGTTAATTAAAGCAGCACATATATATATAGGCCGTCAGTTTGGGCAGTTATTACGGTGTTTTACGACGACACTTATAATCTAATCGACAATAAATTTTACGTTAATGATACGGTAGTTTTCAGAAGTGTAAAGCAAATTTTTCTATCTGGGATCATAGAGAATAACACTTCTCGCATTTTGACTGCTTTATAATAATTAATTTCGACTAGTTCACAACCGTGAGATAGTAATTTAATGGTACCAAATGACGTGCTTTCCTTAATCCTCTTTGTCAAAAGAAGGAGAAGCGAATACGGACATTTATTTGACGTCCTCGCTTCATATATAATCAGTTTAGAATATTCGTAGCGTCTATATATTCATTTTGATTGCTGGACAAAAGTGTGGGAGTTAGATTTTGACAGAATAAGATAATAATAACAATAATAATCTGCTTTATTTTCACACACAGTACTTATGAGATATCATGGAATTCTCAGCATTTTTCACAACATTGCATCTAATTTACTTAAAATATTTTAAAAAAATTAACCACAGGAATTTGTCTGCATTTACAATAGGAATAAAGGGAAAAATGTGCAAAGTGCAAAGTGAGAATAATAACTATAATAAATAATAACACAATGGGTTTGTTTCAAACAATATTGTCGATACAGTATGGAAATTTTAGCATGTGCTATAGAGTAATGAATCTAATGTTCTGATGAAGGGAAAAACAAAAAATAACAATTACTACAGAGCTTAAATGATGTTTACACTTATGCGAAAATAAATAAAAAAAGTGAGAGGATTATAAATATAAGAAGAATAATAACAGTAAAGCTTGGTGGAATAAGGACGGAGAAAGTGGTTTATTTACTAGTGCACAGAAGATTAGTTCGTCCCTCATGGTGACACCAACATCAGAAGTGACATACAAAAGGGGTTAATGATGTGAAGTAATTTGGAAAAATTATTTAAGAAACTGAGTTGTTATTCCCTACACATTGAGAAAAGAAGCACGGAGGAAAAACCTATCACTCGTGAAACACATAGTCCAATTTGAAAAAGAACGTTCAATAGAATGAACATTTATGCGTATACCATATAATAGTTGTTAATTTGACAAATCTTCAGATAGTAGTTCTTCACATTTTTAGCCATAAATAACTGTTATTCGATTAATGGTATCTACCAGTGGAATCCAGGACACGCTTTTTGTTCTGCTAGATGTACATGTATCTCGGTGATTAATTCTGTCCCAGTTGGGACTTGGTCATGCAAACAGAGATCAAGCCGTTTTTGGTTCAACATAATCAGTCGACAACAAATTCAAAGTATTTTCAATGAATCTAACATTATCATAGATTTCTGCTGATTACTTTCGTCCATTCGTGTATTTCACTCCAATCATTAAAAGGAATAGTATGAGATAGTCGTAAGTGAATTTATAAAACGCGGGGATGACATTAGAACTAGAAATAAAAAAATACCTAAATGACAACCAAACTGTAATAAACTGTCTCTAAACACTCACTCAGCGTTTTACTTCCACTTACTGTTTTTCAGCATTATTGCAACCATTTAAAAAATTGAGTACAAATATTCCTATAGTTGAATGTTACTGTTTACTTTTGTTTCAGCCTATCAGTAATATCTGTTACTTGCCTATAACGCCAACAGATCGTGAAAAGAAAACCTGGATAGTTACTCCACATGTAAGATTTAGATTATGTTAATGTGATTAAATTGCATAGGTTGGAATAATACATTTTCAAAAATTAAACATATAAGTTTTTCAAGTATTGGTTTTTGTAGGGATTTTGTTCGATTGGTTGAAGGATTTCATCATGAGCTGACGTCACTTAGAGAACCATTGGAAAACCTGGGAGTACTGGAAGCTGTTTCGTCAGCCTAGCTCGGAACTCTTCATCAGTACTCACTCCGGGGTTCGAACCCAGGACCTTCTGGTTACAAGGCGAGATCGTACACCATTAAGCCACTAGGAACCTTTGACTTAGAACCAGAAGGTCCTGGGTTCGAACGCCGGTGGATGAGTACCGATGAAGAGTCCCAAACTAGGACGAAACGGCTGTTCAGTACTCCCAGATTTTCCAGTGGTTCTCTAACTGATGTCAGCTCATGACGACATCCTCCAATCAATATAAGTTTTTGTAGATCACGAATTCGGTGATAGACTGTAATTCAAATGAACTGTCGTCAAGATTTGACAGAATAGTTCTAAAATATTTGGGCGCCGAGTGAGAAGTAGACATTTGTAAAAAATTATATTTGTAAAGTCTCAGCGAGATTGAAATGAGTAATTCCAACGTTTTACAACTGTTTACCCACACACACATACACACTCTGTGTAAAGTGTTTAACAAAGGTAGACCAATATTTGCAAGTCTGAGGTCAAATTTTGATCACAGCTCATAAAATTTTGTTTATTATACTTGCTGATACTTTTTGAATGACTCATGATTGGACAAATTTTCAAAAACAAGTGATGTTCCTTTTATATATAAACCTCTGTTATGTTAATTTCGATTAATTTCCCTGAAGAAGTTCGGACCAGATTGCCGAAAGAAACGTTGGAATTACTCATTTCAATCTCGCTGAGACTTTACAAATATAATTTTTTAGACTGTAATTGTTCAAAGTAGTTTTGTTTCCTTCAGTGGTAAGTAGTCTAGGTGCAACGTCCCTATGGAAATAAAGCTAACGTATAAGATTACAGTTGAAGTTTCCAATTCATTTCCTATCAATTCGATAGTTGGTCAACGAAAATATGATTTGGATATAATTTATGAATGTAGATAAGGATGTAATTTATTCATCCTCCCCTGGAATATTATGGTATTTTACTGTATTGCTAGTTTTATTTCATTTTTGAACCTTTCATCTCTTTATGCACTGCTAAGCTATCACATTGAAGGGTTTTAGCAGTTCACTCATAACAGATTTTTTCCCACTGTTGGCGACATCATGATAGCCACACCGAAGATGCGATTATCATAGATAACTGGAGTAGATTGTTGACTCTCCAGCTTATAATTTCAATAGTCCACTTACATCCATTCCATCCGCTCTAACGGAGTCCTGATTCTTCTACAGCTTAACTCCTCATTTCTTAGCCTGAAACATGTTACGGACATTGCACGTCCTTAAGCTTATATTTCGTTTTAGACAAAGAAGGCACATCCGTCGACTAGCTTCTCTAAGGCCTTCACCCACCAGCATCATTTCTCCTGAAATTGAGGACTCTTTCCGTTCCCAGGGAGTTATGAGTTTATTTTCTGTATGCTTTGAACTTTCAATAGCAATGGAGTTGTTTCTTACTGGGTGATGTTGCTAGTCACACGTTCAACCCTCCTCCGTTCACGGGATTAGGAGCGCCTAGTAAGCCAGGCGAGTTCCCATTATATCTTACTAGACTGTAATTCATTCTTCCACACACCACCAGATTAATTCACATTGATAAATATTCCAAAGGTGTCTTCGTTACGACAAGTTACTTTCTTCCATTTTAGAATATTCGGAAATCTGAGAAGGCGTACGAATTATCCTCCGACTTATTTATACGCTATAATGAGTTCAATATGAATGTCTGTCTACTCATAGAAGTTGGAATTCTCGTAACTAAACAGGTAAGACCAGTGTTTTTTTTAAAGTAAAAATTGAATATGCACCGGTATACAGTTTTTATTCACCAATTTAAATATAACTAGTGCTGAAAGTTGGTTGAATGATCGGTGACAATTTCCGGTCGACTTTGAAAATCTTGAAGATAAACGTCTAATAGTCGAATTTTATTCCAGCTAAGAAAAATTATTTTCTGCTCGATCATAGAAACAGGTTTCCTAACTCGCTGAGCTGATTGTCTTTCTATCGTTTTGTACTTGTCGCGTGCATTGTTTAGGTTGAAAAGGTTGACTAGAATTACTTTTCCGTTCATTTGCAGCTGGTAGAGTTACTTTTTATTATTATGTTATTTGGCAAAAATATTTTGTTTAAATGGTCATATTGATGATAAAGCCTTGGAGGTTTCCGACTGGAGTAATGTGTAACCTTGACTATTTATCAGTTGTCTTTTCTCTCTGAATTTGCACTATTGGCACTTATAGATGCATATGTTATAGAAAATTATTGGACAAGTATCCACTCAAATTTCTAAGGGATTTATTATCTGCATATTTTACCAGCTTCGTAAAATGTCTTCATATTATTAAATATTCCCATAGTAAAATTTAGAGAAACACATTCAAGTGAACAATTTGGTTTTCAATTAGATCTCATCATATATAAACTAATCACGGTGTTTTGTCAATAGGATAATACGACTGTACACATAAATTGTACAGTTGTCATAATAATACTAATATTATTAATGGTTCTGTCAATAACAAGGATGAAAAAGTGAGGTGATCTATGATAATAAGACTAATGACAAACAACATGATTAAACAAACAAATGCTCAGGTAGAAGTGTGGTGGTGGCGATACAGACAATGTCTGCCAACGGAATATTATGCTCACATATTCCCACAGTTCACTACTGCATACAACATATCTATTTGAACATTCTATTTGATGTTAGAGACAGAATACATTTCCCACGGTTATATACTGCATTAACAAAAGAATACTATGTATATTTGAACATTCTATTTCATGTTGTTTGATGTAAACCGAAATCACACGCTCGGTGATTGGTTAAGGAATATAAACTGTACATCAATAAAGAGCGGTTTAATTACTGAAAATTATACCTTGGCTTCTGAGTCTTGCCTTCCATTGTTACAGTAGTAGTCGCTAAAGGCTAAGAAAAACAAATGGACGGATTAAGTAATGTTAGATTGTGATGGAAGTAAATACAATAAGATATGTACTAAATATTCCCATAGTAAAATTTAGAACAACACATTTAAGCGAACAATATTGTTTTCAATTAGATCTCATCAGGCTTAACTCTAATATATATAAGTTTACAAATAAAAATTCAAATATAAACCAATCATGGTGTTTTGTCTATAGGATAATACGATGGTGAATATAAACTGTGCAATTAGTCATAATAGTAGTAATGATAATAATAATTATAGTAATAATAGAAATGGTCTTATCAATAATAAGGATGAAAAAGTGAGGCAATCTGTGATAACACGAATAATGAAAAACAGCATGATTAAACAAACAAACAACTGTTCAGGTGGAAGTAGTCGATAAAGGCTAGTAAAAACAAATGAACCGATTAAGTAATGTTAGATTGTAAGGGAAGGAAATGAAACACGTTTATAATGAAGATAAGATTAAGGGATGATAAGAAAGGGGATGAAAATACAAACAAACAAAGGGTGGTGTAGAAGTCATTAGTTGGTTACGTCTTAATAGGCCAAGGGAGGGATAAAGGTTGTACGAACTTTCATTATAATAAAGGTTTTTGTATTTCCCAATGAATGAAAAACAAAACGATATTGTTATAATATATATTATAATATATTATAATACTTTGATAAAGCTATTAGCATTAAATAGCGAAACTTCAGTAAAAACAATATCGTTTTGTTTTTCATTCATTGGGAAATACAAAAACCTTTATTATAATGAATATCATATACCCAATGCCCAAATTTTTTCAAACCGTTAAATGTACGAACTTTTTTTGAATACATAATTTAGGCTTAATAGTTCGAATGCCTATCGTTTCAGCTGTGTGTAGTAGACGAATACGAAGTCTATTGGAAAGATTCGGTGGGATACGATGAATCACTTTGAAGGCTCTCGTTTTCTCGATTACATGACCACTATCAATTAAGTGTGACAAAATTGAGCTACGGATTGTTTTTGTCTGTCCTTTGCCAAACCACGATGGGAGATGTTCAGTAACACGTTGGCTAAACTGTCTAGTGGTACGCTCAACATAACTGTCATCACAGTCGCAGCTGAATTGATAAATCCACATAGATGTGACAAAACTATCTACCGTCTATCCTTTGTTTAACTCCCGATCATTCATCGGCTAGAGAATGAAAAACATAGTTTTGCTGTGTAAAACGTTCTTCGTCTACTCTTGGAAAGTTTCTGGAATAAAATGTCACTTGACAAATCGCCATTAAATTTATACCTAATAAATAGCGGTTTTTCACGTGCAATCACAGTCTTAGATTTTATCTCCAATGTTTTCGTATATTTCTTTGTGAAACTAATCGGATAGCCCATCTCGTCAGGAAATTACGAATATATTCAAATTCCTTTTGTAAGTAGTTATCCGTACATATATTTCTTGTTCTGCTAGTAAGACACTTAACATTTCTTTTATACCTAACGGGCACGTAACTAAGGTAGTGTGTGTATTGCCCTGTCAATGTGCTTTTTCTATACACGCTTCTCCTAAGTGACCGACCTTCTCACCTACAAGACGTTCAAAGAATGTAGTTTATTATGCTGCTTCTCTTCACAAGTAAAAGTAAGCGAGGCATGGTTGTTGTTGAATTTCATCAACAATTCGTCTATATTTGCATTTCCATCAACTAAGATAAATGTATTAACGACATAACGGTAATACATATCCAACTCCTTGATGATGTCTTTCAATCTCTCGTTTTTAAGTTTTGCGAGGAAAAAGTCTGTTAAAATTAGACCTAATGGTGAACCCATTAGGTCCATCTACCTGTCGGTAATATGAATTATTAGATAGTTGGAGGCAATCGGCAGGAAGCCTTGGACCTAGGTTTCGTGCTAGTTGGCACTCGTCATCAAGGCGTATCTGCAACCCTGAAGGAACTCATGTCCCTTCTGAGATTCGAACGCGGGTCACCCTGTGTTGCAGTCAGAGACGTTACCACTGAGCTATTCGGCTTCTTGCCGATTGTCTCCAACTATCTAATACCATCAGATCAATGTGCACCGTGATGGTGAGCCACCTAGTGGCATGGTGGCCACATCGCAAACCTGACTGATAGAATTCAGTCTGCACCAAAGAAAGGACTAGACACGTCGCACTAGTTACTAGTGTCCAATCAAAATATGAATTATTCACGACAAAATGCACATTCATTGTGCATTTAAGGAGTAATTCGTCAAGGCTACACAAAGGAATTCTTAAGTTCATTTACCTTTCGGTGATTTCTTGGCAAATGTAATCTACCGTTTCGATAAGTAGTACATTCATGAGTAGTGATGATACATCCATGGATAACATAAGTTTATGACTAACATTAGTCCAGGATATTTTAGAAAGGAAGTTGAAGACATCACTAATTCTATGTTGCACAATTCCTTAGTGCAAAGGTCCCACAATCTTCTCTAATCAATTTTCTGTTCCGTGAAATGATGAGTTATACATATCTAGTAAATCAAACAAAGATTAAGGAGGCAGAAATATTATTTGAAGAAATGTATAAATTAGCTCAGAATACCTAATACTAGTAAATTCGCTCAGAAAATATAAGAAAAATTATAAATTGAACAGAACTGTATATGTGACTCAACACTAAAATTTTGACATGACGAGAGAGAGAGAAAGAGAGGGAGTAGTTTATTATGCGGTGTTTACGATGCCTAGTATTTTGGCGATGGAAAACTATCTCAAAATAGTAGTCCAAGACTTCACATACTGTTACGATATCATAGTTTGACCATCATTCCTACTCCAGCTCATCCCTATTTCAATTGTGAAACAAGGTGCTTTACAGAAACAATACATTGTCTAGCGAATTTATCGGGTCCACTTTCACTAATTCACAAAATGATTTGGCGTATTTACCTGACAATCTTTGCTTAACTCCAAGATTATTCATTCTGCTTATCTCTCACAAACTATAAACGTCCTTATTCATAATGTCTGCCACCTTTAACAGTAATATTTCACTGTTGTCTATGACAGGGAATTCTTGTGCATTAGTGCTGAGATTTCGTCGTAATTAATAGTAATACATACTTCTGACGTTTTGCATATCTCTGACTTATGTAGTCTTGGTGAAATTGTGGGATTTATCTTTATGTTACACTTTCTCACTACAGAATGCCAACCAACCAATTGAATTGAGTCTTGGATGGATTACTGTACCACTGTATGATGAAAATGGTCAGATTATGCCGAATAAGTGAGTATTATAAGGAGAATTAAAAAAAACCAAAATTTTATAATCTCAAATTTTAGAAATTATGAATACCCACTGCAAGAGAGTCTACCATTCGAAACTAAGAATGCTGATAAAGGATCAGTTAAAGATGGTAAGTGTTGAAGAAAAATATGCTGAACACGAAATATTTTACACTGTTACCAACCCAGGCTAAACAGGGGAAGAAAGGTTGGGTTTGTGATACATTATCTAGTCAGATCTTGCATGTCAAACAGTTAAGTCAACATTTTAGATGATAAAAGTTAACTGTCGGAGACTTCCGTATTTTACTGTGTGCTAACTTGGAGGTTTCGGACTAAGGTCAGGTCAGCAGCATGATCTATTTCCTTGCATTCGGAGTTCGAAAACAAGATGTTCAGCACTTCCTTGTCTACCGCAACATCCAACCGCATTTATAACTGCCCACAGGTCTACATTTCTTCTTCATCACTGGATGTCCAGTCTGTTGATGTCACTCGATATCCTGGAGTGTGATGTTGCCTGAGGGTCTCCTCAACGTGTGTCTAATTCATACGTTTTTCCTTCTGGATGTTTGTTGAATATGCAAAAGGTTGCCTGATTTGCTGCTCATCTGAGTTCTTTGTTACTAATCGGTTGCAGCCAGGCGTCCAACTTTCAGCATCAAGCAAAGGCAGCGGGTGATGATGAGAGTTCTCAATAGCTTGTTCGAAATGCTTATTAAGTTTCCAATATAAGAAAAGCAGTGTAGGATTTGACAATAAAAAAATATCGTGATTTAGAACAGAGACTTCATTCTTTTTTATATTCATTTAAGTTCCCAGTGGAACATATGGCTTCAGACTAGTGCTTCGAAGTTTCAGTAGCGGTGTTGTTCTAACAGGATGGGGTTGTCAGCCTCACGCCCAACCCTCCCTCTTTATCGCGTTTACTACCTTGTAAGTGAAGTTTAGGAGTGTGTCGACCGGGGATCAATCTCCGGACCACTTTCGTGGTTGGCCAGTGTTCTGCCACTAAGCCACCGACGTACACAGACTTCATTCAAGAAATACAATTCACTAAGATACATATAATAACAGTTATGTACCACTTTCGGCAAAAACGGAACACTAAAATTCCATTTACATAATGAATGAATCAAAATGAGGAATTCCCCTAATATTCGATCATATTCCGCTATCTCTAATGTAAATATGTATGTTTTCTGTCACACTTAGCACAATTTGCCTAATGATTTTTAAAAAGATATTGTGTTTTGCCATTTGCCTTCCTGGAGAACTAATGCATGCAGGCATCAGACCTGTTCCTCTTCTTTACTGAAGTTTAGTATGTACCTACTAGTGAGCGGAATTTATAACAAGGCCCACTTTTCAGAATTACTTTCTCTTCTTACATTTATCAAGTTTTCATCATTTCTTCAGTCTGAATAAACACAAACAAACACACAATTACCCTTGTATCTTACTAGCCATATTATTGCCCAGTTTCTCTACGGCTTTATTATCTTAGTATGCGCCTGCTTCAACCTAGACCCTGATAATTATTCCCGCCTAATTTATACATCTCAGTATTTGGTTGGCATCATACATGTGCATTAGAATATCCGTTTCTTTCTCAGGTAGTCTGAAAAGTCGTGTGCAAAATTTGCTTTTCAACAGAACAACTCAGATGACCATACGATTCAGTCAGCCAAATAAAGAACAACAAGACAAATTGGAGTGAGTTTAAAACTGTTTAGAATTTACGTACGGTCTTTCAGTGTTCAAGCCAAGTATCTTATTATGGTAATTTAGGACTGTTGATTTTTCAGGGGCACAATTATCTGCATTGTCTGTAGTAAAAAGATGGGAAAAGATATGTAGTTCAAAGAAATAGACGTTTTACTACACGATTTTACATATCACAGCTATTTTCACAAGTCTTTGTGAAGGTTTCCCATAGATAAAAGGAAAGGAACAGGACTAATGTCAATCTACTAAATGAATAAGTAGTTTTCAACAACTGAAGGTAGTTTAAGTATATTCAGCTTCCTGAATTGATTATATTTGGATGTAATAGTGATATCTTTATCGTTCTACAAGAACGAACCGGCCGCTTGCTCTTGAGATCATTAGAATTTTAATAGTGCACAATACGAATCGGTTGGATTGTTTTTTAAAGAATCATTTCAGTTATTCAGTGTGTACACTGTAACTCCTGCCGCATCGGTAACGCCATATCCTGTTCCAGTCAGTAGCTTACCTCTGATGTTATACTAATGAATCATCGATTGCATGGGGTTGTACTACCCTGTGAATGTAAGTCTGTAGAAATATAAAAAAGATTTCATAATTATGTTGCATTTTGACCTCTGGATATAAAAGTAAAACCTTCCTGCTCATTTCAAACTGTCATACTTCTCACAGTGTAGCCAACGGAGAGATACAGTGTAGATGATATTCAAGCATCGCCTGATTGAGTTTTTATCCTGACAAAAGACTTAACTTGAGTGAGGTGGGAAATAAGACAGTAAATAATGGGGAATCGCTTGCATTGATGGCGACTTTCATTTTGACAGAGAATTCCGAATCAATCATGACTTAATTTCAAAAGACAATTATGTAAATTATTATTATTATTTCCTTTAGTTCCTAGAGGAACATAACTTCACCAAGTTGCTTAATTAAAGGTGTGTAAAACGGTGATAAATATAATGTTTATTTTCAAGTATTGGTTTGTAGGGATTTGATTGATTGGTTACAGGATTTCATCATGAGCTGACATTGGTTAGAGAACCATTGGAAAACCTGCAGGGAGTACTGGACAGCTATTTCGTCCTAGTTTGGGACTCTTCAGCAGTACGCATCCACCGGGGCTCGAACCCAGGACCTTCTGGTTACAAGGCGAGCTCGTAGACCATTAAGCCACTGGGACCCGATCCAATGGCCCATAAATTCTAACTTCTGCCAATTCATGACATAGTGCAACTGCTAGCCAATGTCTTCGACGAGTATTTGTCCTCACACCCGACCTGCTGTACCCTACTGGTCACGACTTCCCACTAGAACCCCAGGTAACTACCTACCTGAATAGGGCCAGTCGCCAGTGAGCATCTCATTGATATTCAAATATTGGTTTGTAGGGATTTGATTGATTGGTTACAGGATTTCATCATGAGCTGACAATTGTTTGTCCTACTTTAAAGTACTTTAAGAGAGTACGTCGCTGCATGTTGATTAGTTAGTCATTTAGTTAAGAAACCTGTGGTTGTGAAATTAAGAAGTGTGATGAGCTTACTTTGACGGTCAACAGCGTATCAGTAGTCCTGCTGAAATGCATAAATATTTCTAGTGTTTATTCCGATCTAATTTTATTCATATAATGAATGCCTGGGTTCTCTGAATTTCCCCCTTAAACTTACAGTGCTCTTCCCGATGTCCTAATCGGTTTGCTGGGTTATACACCATTTCTCAGTTATCATCGTGACTTTTTGGCGAATGTATTCCCTGGTTACCGTGGATCAAGTGAAAAAGACCGACTGATTTTACGTCATGTCCCCCCGGAAGTTGCAGTTTTCCCAGTAATTGCTGATTGTCCCCTGCTTATTGAGTGTTTACGGGTAAGTAAGTAGGATGAACATGGAACACACCTTAATAGATAATCTGATCGCGTTTAAATACACGACACAAATACACAGTATTCCTCCATTAATACATTTTAGTTATAAGGTAGGTGTTTTAATAAGAAGCTGGACAGTTTCCCGCTCAATGGCTGATGTTGTTTCCTCAATGGTTCTTATTGCGACACTGAGATAATGACTACTGATTATGATGCTTATATTTTACCCTAAAATGTAAAAAACTAGGTGGAGTTATAGGAGCGATTTATTCCAAGGGAAGGTGTGATTTGTCGTACTACAAATGGGCTGAAATAGTAGTTTAAAAGCTTTCATCACAGTGCTAGACAAAATAATATCAAATGTAACCTTCCAGTTTACTTATTTTCTATCGAAGTTTACTCACCTATTATTCAAAATGTTGAGGTTTGATAAATTATTTGAATGCATCATAGCCTTCAAGCACAAGTAATAGTGAGGCGGTGATTCATACAAAGCATTACATTTGAAACAAACTCAAGATAACTGTGTATCAGTCAATCAAGCGAGATCATTCGAGATAGTGTAATCACCTATTCAATTGGTTACAATAAAAGTAATCAAAAGGTAATCCTAATTAGAATATTGTTTCACTCTATTCAAAACTGGTCTCTAACTTTCTTTCAAACAACTCAGATAAACAAACACGTTTTCTTTGTTTATGAATAGTATGACTTTATCTGATTAACTCTATGCTTCTTCTTCTACTTCTTCGTCATTATTGATAACAAGACTTCTTTTGTTTAAGTGATTTGTTCCAAAAGTAAGCGTTGTTGTTTTGTTCCTGTGATACTGGAAGGGTTTTACAGAGACTCAGGGATTGACTTGTTACCAGGGAACAATCTCCTTGACTTAGAATATGCAGATGATATAGTCCTGACTGCTAGGTGATGACGCTGACAAAATGCAGAGTCTTCTGAACACCTTGAGCTGCAATCTACGAATGTTTGGCATGCGATTCACTCCCGCCAAATGTAAGATGATGCTACAGGACTGGACTACGTCGACTACTCCTAGCTTAGAAATAGGGAGTGAAGTGGTAGAGCGCGTTGACCACTTCACTTATTTGGGAAGTTGCATCAGCCAGTGCCAACGGGTTGATCACTGATGAATAAAGATGAAATCTCAGCACAGATACAGAAGGCTAGTTTCGCATATGTCAGTTTACGCCGTCTCTGGCGTGGACGTGATATCCGGCTGGCTATGGATCAAAGGGCGTGTGTACTGCTCAGCAGTGCGCTCCGTCCTCCTTTACGGCTGTGAAACCTGGCCATTGAAAGCGGAAGACATGAAAAGGCTGGCTAGCTGTCTTTGATTATAGGTGTCTGCGTTCTGTCTCCCGTGTGAAGTGGTATAATAGATGAGCAATATTGAGGTTAGGCGTCGAGTGCTAGGTAAGGAGGGAAAATCAATTGACGAGGCTGTGAAGCTACATAGACTGAGATGGTTAAGACATGTGTTACGCATGCCTAGCCATCGCCTTCCTCGATAGGTAATGTTAGCTGACATAGTGGATCAGGTTGGAAAAGAGCTAGTGGCGGTCAAACGAAAGCATGATGCATCAGTCAATGAAATCCACAACAGTTAGTTTAAGCCAGTCACGTAGGGAAATGTAGACTTCCTGGTTGGGGTCCTCGGTACGGTAAATACCAATGGCTGGAAACAATCAGTGATGTGGCTCAAAATCGTTCTCATCACTGGAGCAGATGCATCCACTCCTTGTGACTTATAATTTCCAATAAAATTATATTGTTCTTCGATATTACTATTCTTTTTGCCTCATATCTCTGTTAACTGTCTCTATTTCGCATTTCTTTTTACTTTCTTCTCTGGATTTCTGTGCTGAGTGAAGTGTGGCGACTCGAACTGCTGCACATCGGTGCAAAGTTCTATGTTGAAACCAGTCAGTCAGTTTACAAAAAATTAACAAAACAGATGGAAACAGGTTATGTCATCCTACCTTGCCCTCTGTGGTTTACACTTTGTGAAATCCTATCTTTTGTACTGAGTCAGAATTTGTTAAGTAGGTTCGTTTATCCTAGGGAATAATTATGCAAGTGATTTGAGCATCGTTTTAGTGCTTTTTTCAACTTTTCCCTTTTTAAACTAATATAGGTTTCTTGGCAAGATCGTCTTAAAGAAATCCCAGCGAATAAGAAGGTAATTTAATTTTAGTAAAATTATTTCAAAAGGAGACATTTTTCTGATAACGTGTTTATTTGATTATACTGAGTACGTGATAGTTTTCGATATAGGTTATCATTTGCTTTGAAGATTCTTGATACAGCTATATTTTCTTTTAAAAATTCTTCATCAAAATGAATTTATTGGCGCAGCTTCAGATCTGTTGTGTGTCTATAGATTCGAATCCACTTTGACAGATTTCTGTTGACACACATGCTATATTTTTTTATTCCTTTGCGTTCCCAGTGGAATATAGGGCTTCAAGCTAGAGGCTTGAAGTTTTGGTAGCAGTGGTGTTTATTTTACGGGATGGGGTTGCTAGCCTCTTGCCCAACCTTCCCTCTTTACCAGTTTTATTACTGGCTTAGCGAGGTAAAGGAGTGCGTCGGCCGGGGATCGAACCCCGGACCACATGCGTAATCGGCGAGCATTCTACCGCTATGCCACCGACGCACATAGATACTATATACTTACAAACGTATATTCAAGGCTTCCCGCTGCCTGTTTCCAAAGTACTTAAGGCTGTTCGCCTTCGAGCTACGTGTGACTTGTTAGTTATATGTGCCTACATTTTGAGAAGTCTTAGAGTTGCACCTGAAAGCAACACTGTACGCTACTCAAAAGTCAGTGTTTTCATTGATGTGACAAGAAAGTTTGTTAGTGAGTTATTTTCAATCATGTTGGTAGAGCAAAGTTAATCAAAGATCTGGATTATATGACTACTTTGGGGTATTGCATACTGTACAGATAAGTAAATCTAAGCATAAAATTTCATGAAATAACACTTTCTTTTATTTTCTTCATTCTTTTTTTCACAACTTTTCAGAAAGATACAGAATATCTGAGAAAGATATATTCAGATCATTTTAGAAGGGTGATTTATCCTTTTCTTTGGCTACAAGATGTCCATTTCTCAAATGTCATGAGTGCACAACAATTTGAGGTAAAATACAGCTGTAACATTGACTTGTGCAATGTAACCAAGTAATATTTATTTAATTAAAAGTGTTATGACATATACAAACTACCGAAGATAATTATATGCAAACGATTCATCTATTATTTCAATGCGTCGCTTATCGAATGTTATGCCTGTTTAAAAATAAACGAGGTGATAATACTGCATCGGACGGTATAGATTCATTTCGACGACACTAACTACCAACCTGAGACGTTGAGGAAAGCGTCGACTGCTCTCGGGTGTAAGAAATCGAATGCTGGTAACTCCGAATGAATGATAGGAGTGGTGTAGATCCACTATTAAATGTTTCCATACCTAACAATCTTCACCAGACTGAGTTTATCGCTAAGCCATAAAAAACGAACTGGAGTATGAGAAGAACAAATTCGATGGAACCCAGTGGGTTTCAGGTGGCAAGAGAATGCTCTGATCTAGCCTTCAGCCTTTGGCATCTCACATTCACCACATTTCTAAGCCTAAACGTGCATTTTGACTGTGTCGGTCGAGAATTTCGACTTCACTATATGGTTGTGGAAGAAGGCGGTCGACGCAAACTTGTTTCGAATTCACCAACCTGTGTATATTGTACCGGTGTGATATGCAGTTATCCATGAAGGCGTGAATATATGTCACCCATCAGTTTTCTGTCTCCTGCTTTACGACTGACACATATTTGGCGAAAGTAGAAAGTAGAAAACGAATGTATGTACCCAAGGTACAGACTGACATTATAATCAACGGTGAGATTAGGTGTGTAGAGTTTTGGTCAGAAGGAATAAGTCAGTCAGTAAGTTTGTGTAGCCGCATGGATTAATTTGGCTGAGACATCCCAGATAGACAATCGTAGTCGGCTGATAAGCGGTTAATTCAGTAAGGTGTGATAGGTGATCACCCTGAAGCATCCAAGTTTTGTGGGATATTGGTAGATGTAGGTCGCGTGGTTAGCACACTCCGTATGCTATAAATCAGTGACTACAAGCTCTTGGTTACATGCTTCAAAGTTATTCACAATAACCCAGATGCATTTCGTATTTATCATCTTGAGAAGTCAGATCATCACTACTTTTCATTAAAAATTCCCTCCTCCGTCCGCATATCTGAGTCAATTTCAGCGTCATTCCATGCATGTCCTCTTATTTATTATACGTTTTACCGGAGTGTGGCAACTTGAACCAGCACAGCTCTGTGCAAACGTGTGCGTTAAGGCGTCAGTGTTATTTAATGAAGCTGATTTTTGAAGTATATTCTTAACTTCTCCCCCTTAGTTTAAGCTGTTTGTTATTCGGAAGTAATAGTCAACTTCTTTTGATATTCTCCACTAGGTTAAATTAGTTTATCACGTTCATTATTTGTATCCAACGTAAGCTTTGTCATGCCTGTAACACATTGTTGAGCAGCAAATGTTCATTTTGCTTAGTTGTTTCTAATTCTCGTTTACTATTCTCTAAGCATTGAAGTGAATGAGATTTCTCATTGACATATTCACTAGTTAATGTATGCATTAATTCGGAAAGGTAATGAATTCCTTTTTATGCTCGTTGGATGTAAATTTTGAACAGTCTTACAGCTTTCGGCATCCGGTTTTTGATCACAGTGCAGCATGGATAAATGCACATAATGCACACACAGTTACTGAATGTTCTATGCACTTTTCTTTCTTCATTGCTGCTTTCAGTAAATGTTTGTTTAAGCCTTCTTACAAACTGAATTCAATCTGTGATAAATTCTTTAACAAGCATATCACGTTCACCGTTATGAACACGAACATTACACTGTATGTTATGAAGCTGTTTTTTTTAGATCTCACTTAGTACTGCAGTTAAATCTTTATACTTCGGGCAGTTCCCAAAAGTCTCCGATTATGAAGGCTAAGTACTCCATACTTTAAGTGATGATCATATTTGTCAAGCACACAGAACACACTTGTAGTCAGGTCCGTGATTTCGAATATTTGAAGAAAGCGTGAATACTATGAAAGTTGGAGAATTTTCAAAGATAAAGAGGCTGAAGATATCATTAAGTCTATGTACAGAAACAATTTTAATATACTTGCAATTTTCACATGTTGTCAGTTGACAGGGAGTTCAGATTCAAACAAAAAATCAATGCATGCAAGGCTCAGCAAAGCAGACTGGAGTTATTCTTTCTGTCCTCCTAACCTAACTAATACTGAACATGGATGTAAATCTGTAAACACTGTTGGAGGTAACACCAACATCAACACGATACTTATCAAATTTGGATAGGCTTATTTTGAGCAGGTGGTCCTGCATACCAGTTTTACTGTTACCATACCGACTGCTTGTAGTAAAGCCCGCTGACCAGGCGAAATTATGTTACTATTTCTTAGATTTTACCAAATTGATTAATTATACTTTTTGTTTGTGTTCCATTTTCTACAATTTCAACAGAATGATGCAGCCAAAACACTCCTTTTACTTGATCAAATTCGACAGGATATAATCGCCTTCGTCACATCGAACAAATACAAATTCAAGTTGATCACTTCGAAAGAGTTCACTTGTCCAATTCAGTTTGCCAGCTGATTCACAGCACTACTACACAACTAATTTAAATTGCAATCATTTTTATCAAACATTTTGTAATGATTTGTATCTAAATTTAAAAAAAAATAAAAATGCTAAAGGCAATAAAGAAATAAGTTTTGTCTGTAAAAGATCAATATCTTTGAAAGGCTAGAAATTCATAAGGGAATGACTTGTCTATCTTTAAACAGTATTTTGTGTCACACAGTCATTGCCAACATAGAACATGTCAGAATACTCTCTATGTAAGTAGTTCAAGTTTCTAAGCCACTGTGCCATAAAACAAACGGAAATTCATAACCCGGAAGATGGAAAACTAGAAATAATATAAAATTCGAAAGTCATAGAATGTCTGAGGTCAAAAGAAGAAAATGAAATCTAGATCTATCTACTCTACTATGATCGATTACAAGAGTTGGAGTTCCTAAGCAATATTTCCTGTAGTCACGTAGCTGGACAGTACACTCTTCTTTACATGGCGTTAATAGACAGTCATATAGAAAATCATAACAAATGATTCAGCGAAGAGACTCTTTTCAACGAATTTATCATCAAGCTGTACAATCGTATATATATGGTTTTTTAAGAAGTTATATCCGGTGAGGGGATTGAATCATAGGTGTGAATGCATAAAATAATAATAATATGGAATGCAATTAAAACTAAAATGTTTGTGATTATAATCGTAGTTAAATGTCAAGTGGCAAAGCAAATTAATGTCATATATAGAATAATTCATAGGATGGATAGAACTTGAAAAAGGGTGTGAAATTATAGGATTAGTAGACAAATCGAATAAAATAAAAACGTTACGTAATATTGTGTGGAATCTGATAATATAGAATTTAATGTTGTAAAAAAGAATTGATTTAGAATGACAAGTGGAACAAGTGAAATAATACCGGGGACAGTTAAAAGTGGGATTAGTAATAGTAACAATTGACGTAATAAGGAAGAGTATGCAAATTGAATAGACAAAAATGAAAAATTGGTAGAGCTAAAATATGATTGGGGATTACCATACTTTAACATAGAGGGATTAAGACCATGAAAGTTGGAGGGGTTGAACGAACTTTTTCTGTACACAGAGATCTGGCTTTTCTGTTTCGATAGCCAAAGCTTCAGCAATACAGATGAGTCGCGTACGTAGGGATTTGGGTAAATTACTCTTTGCCTTGTAGATGACTTTGAAGGCGGAGGCTATAGAGATAGGGTGATCATTATCGACCAGGTGTTCAATGATCGCGCTTCTTATTGCTCCACTACCACCTTTTCGTAACCATGCAGGATAGTGTTCTTGCACCCTCTTGGACAAAACTCGTGTCGAACGACCGATATACCTAGCTCCACACGAGCAGGTGAATTGATAAACACACATAGAGTTTGTCAACAGCGGGATCTTGTCCTTCAGGTTATTGAACAGTAATGGTCGACTAGTAAAGGCTATTCTCAGAGATGCAGCAGGAAATGTTCTTTTCAGGGATTGTGATAATTTTCGTTTCATGATATCGGAAGCTAAAGTATTTTCTTGGGTACGGTTGATAAGTCACGTTTTCTAGGATTTGAATGTATATTCTTATATATAAAACGTGGTGTAAATCCATTTTCTATTAGGATTTTCCTCAAAATATATAACTCATTTTCCACAGTCAGACATTTTATTAGTTCGTTTATTCATGATTCCATGTAGCATTGAACAGTTTTAACCACTTTGGAATTCAAAAGAATACTATCAAGTTAGTAAGACTATTCGACAATATATAGTCATGTTACAAACTTGTTTACAGATTTAGAAAAGGTGGATTAGATTTGTAGCGCACGTGGATGATATCGGTGTAGTTGTGTTGCTTGAGCTGGATTGTTTATTGCACAGCTTTCACTGTCCTGATGGAAAGATAATATCTTCGGCTTTAACTTCAATATGAAGTGAGCTTTCAGAATTCCCCGTGAGTGTAATAACTGTCTTTTCTGGAGACTGAACCCCACTGGTGGTCTCTAGAGATTTTCTTATTTTTATGTTCACATGTATTAGTGTCGATTACTTTGTTAACACAGTATTTGGTATTTAATCCACTAACCGCTAAATATTATCTATATCAATATACCAGATGCAGATTGGCCCGAGTAGCAGGCTTCTAGGAATTCCCTGGCATTCTAGGTTTCTTATATCTCTAAGACTTCCTAGACTTTTGGAAAACAGGAAACCTAATTTTTAAAAATCGCCATGTGAAAAATATCTGGACAGATTTATCGAAGTTGACATCAGTCATCGTTTGAAAACTTTTTCTGTGGACGAAGTTGTCCTACTACTTCAAGAAAATCTACTTTTGAGTGCAACTCTGTCGACAACCAGCAAAACTGCTTTGACTGTTGTATGTTATGAATAAACCATTTTGAAAACAGTTGTATTCGAATCAGCACAAGGGTGTAAGTCTATTCACGCGGCAGGCCCAAAGTGAAGAGCAAATAGAGGATTATTGTCAGTATTAATTTCGTTGCTTGAATTCTGAATAGAACACAGGACTTCACCGGAGTATATACATTGCACTGTGTTCCCTTCTGTCGTTTTCATCAGAAACTACGACTGCCCGCAATCTTTTGTCTCTTCTTCACATACTATTCTCCAGCTCAATATTAGACTTCCAACCCGTCAATTCCCATTCGTTTTCAAGTCGATGGCGTAGTCTGTAATGTTGCATGTATGCCTTCTCACTGCATATCCACTCTGTCTGTATTTCCCCCTGCATATTTGTTGGTTGGGAAACAGGTTTCTGGCTGGTTCGGTGGTTGCTAGAGTTCTCTGTTTGATATGGTTTCCAATCGGCCATCTTATTTTTCGTATTGAGTGAAGGGGGCAGGTGTCAATGAAATCCTGTAGTAGGGTGGCTGACACAGTTTTGGTGACGGATGATGTATATCTCATGTCAAAAAAACTGGAAGAAGAGTCAGTCAAATCAGGAATTCACATGAAGTTAGAGAAGATAAAGCTGACGAAGATACCTGACTAACAATCACCATCAATAGAAGAAATCTGAAGGAAGTTGTGTCCTTCACTCACATGACTAGCATTCATTCTACCACAAGCGGCACAGGAGAGGAATTAAGCCGTTTTGATCTATTTTTATCACCATTACGTTTTTTGCAGCTGGAGTGGTGGAGCTGAAGCTTCATTACTCGACTCGGCCCCCATTAACAGTTGTTGATGTGCCATCAGGCTAGAACGTCATACTAGACTAAAACGTAACCGTCCAGAGAAGCGTCACCTGTTCAATATCTCTGTCTATATACCGATGGATAGTATCCTAGATGCAATTAAAGATGAATTCCACCTCAATATTCGTGAAGTTCTGAAGGAGATGTCGTATTGTCAGGACTTGAATGCACAAGTGGGGTGTCAAGGGGCAGAGAAGGGTCATTTAGGTGGCCACTGGGAACTACACAGTCGTAGGCCATATATTGGGATCGTCTTCTGAAGCTTTGTGCAAGTCACATTGCTAACAGGTAGTGACTGATTAGCTGCACAAAGGACTGCTCTCCCATCTAGAGCATATTTAAGGCATTTCGAAAATATTTAGTTGTGTGTTAGATTCATCTTATGGTTTGGTATTCAAGTGTTAGTTTGTAGGGATTTGATTGGTTGCAGGATTTCGTCATGAGCTGACATTGGTTAGAGAACCATTGGAAAACCTGGGAGTATATATAATCATATATATAATCAAGCTTTACAATTGCGTAATAAAATTATCAAGCACAGATATTCGATGTAAGTGTGGTTGATAGAAGTGAAGTTCAAGTATATGAATTATTATTGTTTCTTTTAATTCCTAGAGGAACATAGGGCTTCAGCCGTGCGTCTCCATTGCGTTCGGTTCGCTGCTAGAGTCTTCACCTGGCTCCAAGTCTGCCCACACGTTTTCATCTCCTCTTCACATGACCTCCTCCAAGTCACCCTTGCACTGACGACCAACTCGCCGCTTCCCTTTCGGGTTCCACTCGAGCAATGGTTTGTCTAGTGATGTCACTTGATGATCAGTGAATAATAATCTAAGTGATCATGACAGTAGTGATAATTGCAAGGATAAATTCATGTAAGTAATCTAAGCAGTCAGTTATTGTCACTGTATGAGCAGATTGTGAACATTTGTGGGGATAGACGAAAAAAAATAACTATTGTTTCGCAGCAGTCAGACAATAGAGTGTTTAATTTTATAAGATTGTGAAACCAAGAATAAAATGAAAAAATTATAAAGATAAAGACAACAGTACGAAAAAAGACAATACTCACAGTTGTCCAGTATCACTACGAATACAATTGGATGACAGTCGTTTTGTCGTGGTTTGAGATTCTTTAGTAATACTCAAGTAGTAATCTGACTGGTTTAGTCTTTATCTCTGACGATAACGTGAGTGCAAGTAACTGTTAAACCACTAACCGTCTCAACTTACTATCACGCCTACTTTTCACTTACAATATTTTCAGTCTCCAAGGATGAATGGTATTCTTTCTACATGCTTTTAATTCACATCTGAATTACTCAGCTTAGCAGTTATATATATATATATATATCTTCAATAGTTGGTTTGTAAGGATTAGATTTGTTTTTACGAGTTGATCACGGATTGTTATCAGTTAGAAAACCATTGGAAACCAAGGAGTACTGGGCAGCTGTTTCGTCCTATATATATATATATATATATATATATATATATATATAGCAAAGCTTGAAAGTTCTCTACTTAGTCAAACAATCGGTCATTTTGACATTTATAAAAGATACGTAGACAACACTTTCATTATCTGCGATAATAACGTAATTCTGGATGATGTCTTGTTTGCTTTCAACAACTGCCATTCTTCTTTGCAATTCACCATAGAAAAGGAATCCGAACTAAGTATTCCGTTTCTTGATGTGTGCCTTAGCAGACGTAATGACGGATCTCTCAAAAGATCTATCCACCGGAAACTTACATGGACGGACAACTAACTAATTCTTACAGTTGGGTGCCTATTTCCAGGAAAAGGAACCTAATTCATTCGCTTTGCTTTAGGATAAGGAAAATTTGTAGTTCTGATTGCG